ATTATTAGCCTTCAAAATTGATTCTCTCAGATTTTTCCAAAAGCGTCTCATTTAATATAAATAATTTTTTAAACAAAATATTTATTAATCAGTAATAGTAATTAATTGATTTCAATTTACCAAGACGTGTTTCATACGCTTGATTGCACTACTCACAAGGAATACTGAGAGTGTTTCTTTTTTCTCTCTCCAACAACTGTGTCGTGATCTCTATTTGTTCCTCCCATTCGACTCTCTTTTCCAACGAAGAAGAATGACCTTGAGATCAGAAAGTAGTAGATAATGGTCTTCTGCCATCTCAAAAGAAAATTCGATTTTACACATAAGAGTTTCACCCCTGTTCTTCAATGAATATATCCCCCTATTTCAATCTTCATCTTCCATCCTCTATTTGATTGATATATGTTAAATAAAGAGAGAGTTTTTATTGTTTGGCAAAAAAGCAGAGAATCTTTTTAATTAAAATAAAGACAACTGTACACCTTGAGCCTTTATTTTTTTTGGTATTTGTGGGTTTTAAAAACATTAATTAAAAAACATAATAATTATAAAAACGATAATGGAAAATAGCAAAATGAAACCATTGAAAATAACGAAATAAATAATTAAAAACGTTGGAAATGGGAAGGTTGATTTTAATGTAGGAGAAAGTGGGGAAGTAAGAGAAGGAACAGGCACATCACTGCAGATTTTAACGCAGGAAATGGAAAGGTTGATTGTACAGATGGCTATGATTTGCTCATGTTTTTTTTTTAATATTAGCAATATTTTCCCCACTGTAGAATATATTTTTTTTACGTTTTGCAATGAAAGAAAAGATGGTTCAATTAAAGAAAGATTTTTTGTTCGTATATAGAGGAGAATGACGCTGATGACCAATGAGGAGCATTATAAAGGACCAATCAGAAAGAGAGAACACGATTTAGTAGATTAAGTTGATAAGTTGATTGATGATTGATGCCCCTAAATGAATTAAAAAACAAAAGGCCATCTTAGCTTTTAACGACGACTACGATGTTTGCGCTTATTTGTTTAGTCGTGTTTATCCTTGCTCCCGTCACGATCATTTCAAGTACCTTTTGACTGGTAGTCAAAAGAAGGAAAGGACGAGAGGAACCGGGGGAGCCATTTACCCTTAGGAAACTTCTTTTAACAATAACTCCGTCCATATACACTTCGACGAAACACATGGGAATAAAGATCTTGTTTTCTAGGGGTTGAAAATCTTAATAGGCATCATCACATTAACCTAGTATCGACATTTAATTTGTTAAGTACAACAGGAATGCCAACTGGGGCTCATAAACAATGCTCAACTTCTTTCAGCTCTCTCTCTTCAGCAACTAACTTTAGACAGGACAAGAAATCATTGATCCACCTATGACCGACAATCCACAAGCTTCTTCACATTGTTAGTGGCTAAACTACAGGCAACGCCCAACAGACATAGTTCTACTATGACCTGTAAACAATACCAAATATGAAAAACTGGTCAACTCCAAAGTTTCAAACATTAATCCATTCAGAAACAAGAACATCAATGCTCATCATTTCACGGGTCAAAAGAGAATCACCGGATCAACATTACAATTGACAGACAAGCTGTCGATTTATCCATTCTGAGCGCAGCAGATTTGTAAGAAGCAAGCCGAATAACACCGCAGATGCAATAACAGCTTTGTATCATCACGCATGGTAATGCAAGGAAAAGACAAGACTAGCTTTTACTTTGTAAATCCCCTCCATTTTTTTACTCCCAGTTCTGACCATCCCTCCATTTTATTTCGAAAGGTTCCTCATAATTGCTTTCATCCAGCAAGAGGCTTTGTGTAAGCGAAAGTGTGCAAAGTGAGCGGATGAATGGACAGAGATTGATAATAAGTCAGGAATCTAGCGTCAAAGGTTGATGAGGTTTGGGTTCATTTAGCATATAAACTGGTAATGCAAATCAACCAAAATAATAAAGAGCCTATAAATCAATCATGCCAGAAACATAATTTTAATGAAATTTCCCCATAGCACAAGTCAAATTTGTCGCACTTATCTAGGTCAAGCCTAGGAAAGGCCAGCCACGAGCCTTGCTGGACATAGTGCAAGTCAAATTTGTGTTTTAAATGATCGGGTGCCATAGTTCAAGCATCCAAACCTCAGGAGATAAAGGGCTACTACCATGCGGGGCACCTTCCCTTAAATTGTCTTGTCTAAAGTGTAAAGGATAACATTTATCTCCAGGTAACAATTTCAGTACCAATTAAAAAAGAAAATGGTGCCATAGAAAGGCTAAAAAATTCACAAAATGGGATATATCACACCTTTTGGCCAATAATCTTTCAAATAATTTTGTTCCGTACTTCCTCGAGCTTCTTCAGAATCTCTCCGGGGGTTCTGTCTAATTCATCAGCAATTTTTCTTTGCAAGTCCATGGGCAATGTCGGGAATTGCTCACACAGATCTCCATCAATCACATCCTACATCATCATGTAGACCTCTTAGAACATAGTCATAACTTTGCATTGAACAAGCTAAAGAATCTTAAGTTATATTAGCAGCAGGCAAACAATAACATCTGGCACTGTCAACATGAAGGGCCACGAAGATACAAAGCGGAAAACTTTACAAATCCAAACAGATGACATGTGGTGTCATGTAACTTCCTGATAAAGGTTATGAGAAACATATAAATGAGGCCACAAAACTTACCTTAACAGGAAAATAGGCAGATCTATAAGCCATGTGGTCTCTACCGCACAAAGGCGGATGATCCTGCCTCATGTGCATCTCCAAATGAGAAAAGAAATCAACATCATCACGGGAAGTAAAAGCATGCAATGCCCCTACACTTCCCATAACTGTTCCATATATGATGCTCTCTCCACCCCCTGGTATAAGAGATGCTTTCTGCAAGCATGTAACCACATCACCAACATGAAATTGTACAATTTCTTCCACCTTATTGGGAGCTCCATTCAGCTTTCCCTGCTCCCACTTAATCCTCCCACCAGTAGGATCTTCCTCTATCTCATCAGAAACATCTTGTGGTAAGCGGACAAAATAAATGTTCCCAAATTTGTCTGCACCTGCCATGGTGTCAAAATCTACATGGTATGATGCAGTAAGCCATCTTGGAACACAATCATCCGCAAATATATAGAGTTGATTCTCATCCCGCCTATACTTGCAGTAATGGAAAGACTGGAGAGAAAACACAAAACAAAATTAGCAGAAAATTGGAGAATTAAAATGACACATGCAAGATAATAGCACCTTAAGGAAACATAATATAAAAATTTGGTCAAGTTTGATCTGATTTGAGAAAACACCCCAAAAGGTTTCTCAGAAAATCATCAACAACAAAATTTATCACACCAGAATTGGTGGACACACACATCCTTGCCAAAGGCCATAGCCATATGATTGGAATACCTAAGTACCTAGATCTGCGCAAAATATAAATATGTTCAAGAGAAACATACCTCTTGGATGTCACCAACATAAATGCGATCACGATATGCATGGATGGAGACAATTGTATTGGGGAATAGTTTATTCTCACATTTCCTTAACAGTCGTCTTTTCCCCAAATCATATAGCCTGAGCACCGGCCCTATTCCTGCAAGCAATCTTCCTTGAAATTGGCATAAAGCAAGTGGGACGCCTTCAACCTGAGTTTTGTGCAGAAGTTCAAGGGATCTTCCATCTTCTACAAATCTATAAATATGAATAAATCCAGCAACGAAACTTCTTTTGGGCCAAAACTGCAGTCCCTTTGCTGTACCAACAGCTAGAAGAGTTCCATGCTCCTTATCATGGAAATTCACTGTGCACACACTGAATGCAGCTTCATTATCCTGAAGCTCCAAGAGACAAGTAGTATTTCCAGATCTCGGATCAAGAACTCTGATGCAGGAAGCCCATTTCTCTGATTCAGCTTTCGGATAACCATAATGCTCATCAGAGAGTGGATCATCTTTATCTTCATCCTCACCACCATTCTCCATTTGGGCTACATTACCATTTTCATTTTCCCCCGCTCCAACAGCCTCAAAACATTCTTTTCTTGCAGCTTCTCGCTCTTCAGCTGTGAAGGCTCCTTGATCACTCTCAATCATAACCAAAAGCCTTTTTTTGGGTTGCAGCACAAACTTTCTTGGCGTGTAACGTAGTGGAATTACTGTCTCATTAAAAGTTTCCCCAAGCCTTTCAATTGTAAAAATCCTCAATGCCTCGCCAGCCACAGCAACTACACCTTCCACACATTGATCAGATGAAAATGATGCTGCATACTCAAGGGTTTCATATGAAAGGGGGGTTAAAAGAAAATGTCCTTGGTGGATGTAACCAAGCCAGGGTCGACTTGACAAGCAAAGCATTGCACGCTTGCCTCTTACAATGATGGGAAATAGCTTTGGGGCTCTCAATCCCAAGAATCGAGAACGAGAATCAGAAAGCTGACCAGTAACCATATCCACAACAGTTCTAAACAAGACACCATTCTGTAGACCAGCATTCAGGAAAAGGCTAGCAGGATGATCTGCACCATCCTCACCACCAGTGGATGCCTGGACTTCAAGAAACAGAAGAGATTCTGGGGCTGAAGAAACACTTTGCACACTAAGAATCTGCATACAGTCATCAGGATCCAAAGATAAGATACGGATTGTCTTATCATATGAACCGACAGCAAGAAAACGAGATCTTTGTCTGCCTTCTGGTACTGCTGCAATATCCAGACATGCAACATCTCCAGACATTTCATGCTTCTCCACCTCCATCAACTGACCAGTGACATCCACCTCAAAGTAAATCAGTTCACCTCCACTCAGGGCAATGACTACTTGAAGTCTATTTGAACCAACTTTTGCAATTGTCCTCTTTCCAGGAGTTCTCCACTCATTGATACGTCCATCCTCCCTGATATGTCTAATGCCATTAGGGTGAACCTGCATGAGAGAATCATCACCTATCAAGGAAACAGCAAGAGAAGGTGTGGTATCAAGAAATCCACTGTCACTAACTTCTTCAACTGTCTCACCAATGGAAAGAACAAGTGTTGCATTTGTGAATGACACAACAATATATGCATCAAACTCATCATTTACATTCTTTTTCACAGTCCAGACGGCACTAGGTATACCAGGAAGCTTTGACACTGCCATCTCACTGACTGCCAATCCAGTTCTCAAAATCCTCAAAGATGAACGAGGACCACGCCCACACAGTGTAAATATTTGAGGAGTTTCTTCTTCAAAGAGATTTGTGACCTTCATATCCATTATTGGCATCAAACTCTCAACCTGATCAATCCTAACAAGGTTCTTCAGTCTTCTGGGCTGGAAATACACTGGCTGAAAGCCTTCATCAGTTTCCATTAGTGTTGCTGATGAAGCTTCAACATCAGCATCATCCCCTATTGCCTTAAACTGATATAAAGCATGATTTCCAAACTCTGAGGCTGCAAATAGGAATCCTGATTTCAACACACACATTGATGCAGTAACTGGAATAGTGTCAAAATACTTAATTTTCAATTCTGAGACACGGTCACCATCATGTTCCAGAGTAACCTTAAAAATATCTCCATATTCTGTCTGCACAAGGAAGAAGAACATGGATTTCAACTTATGCATAGCTGCTGAAACTATAAGAACACCACGCTCAGCAGGCAAGTCTGCTCGTCTTGGAATCACAGCCCGGACATCTGGGTGTCCCTGATTTTTGTAGATAACAAAATTTTCTGCACAAACCAGCACACCACTAGGCCCATCCCCACCCCCAGGAACAGTGACAAGTAGATTTGCACCATTATCAACCTGTTCTGACCACTTCCTAGACACATGGTTCAGCCCCAAATCAAGTTCATAAAATGTTAAATGCTTCTGAGCCTCGCTAGCTGCCTGACCTGTTGAATCCTGATCAGCCTCTGAGTAATCCAATTCAATAGAGGCAAACATTGGGTTCTCAAACCCGCAGTCAACTCCACAAATAGAGTACACCAAAGTATGAGACTTATGCGCTTCTAAAGGAGAGGATATTGTCAACCTCGCTGCAGTATCCCTATTTAACACATAAACAAGTTTTTGTTTCTCACAAGCCCCAATCATAACCGCCCTACCCTTGGGATCTATGGCCAAGTATTGTCCTGGAACAATACGACGGCAACCAGATTTACCAAAAGTCTCCTGATGGATTTTATCAAAAACGTTTTTCTCCTTATTGTACTCAAGAATTACAATTCTACCAGAGTCAGAGCCCACAACGATATAGTCCTTCTGAGCCCCAGTAAGCCTAAATTGAGCTAAAGATCTTATAGCACCGAAAATTTCAACAGAGAGTAAAGATTGGATCCTACCATTATCGTCTGGGCGGAGAAGATCGAGAACTTTGCCTCGAGCAACAACAATTTCTTGGGTTTTGCCACCAGAGAAGCTCCCATTAATGGCGCACACTATGCCAGTAGGTCGCTGGAGAGTAAGATTGTAGAGATACATGACTCACCCCGAGCTGGCGAGCGACAGAATGAGCTGCAAATGAGAATGGGAAAGGAAGGGTAGGGTTTTGCATCGGAATATAAAACCCTGGCTTGGCGGTAATGAATCTCGATCGTGGTAATAGGCTCATATTTCAACATTTTGTATTTCTTTTATTTATTAGAAAGAAAAAGAATTCGAAAGAATAAGGGAAAAAAAATCAGTATCAATTGTTGTGTGTTAAATGGGGTCAGGCATAACTTAATATAGAAATGAATAATTGAATTTCATATAATGTAAAAAATATTAGTATTAATATAATTTCTGGTCCTTTAAATTTACTCTCATTTTAGTTTTGATCTCTTAAATTTTAAACTATAAGTTTTGATTCTCTAAATTTTATTTAAAGCATTGGTTCTTATAGTCCGATAAAAACTTGGATCATTTTGCCCCTAAAGAGACCAAAACTTATGGTTTGAAACTTGAGGGATCAAAAATTATTTTAATCCAAAATATTAAAAGAAATATTATTTACATATATAAAAAAAGTAAAGGAAAATACTTACACTATATTACTTATATTCATTATGTTAAGCTCTTCAATCATCCATAGCCATGTGTCATTTTTTGAAATATTAGCATTTAATTATAAATTCTCATGAAACAAAAAAAAAACACATGTCAATATGTAATTAGTGAATTTAACATAATGAACATAAGCAACTTTACCTAAGTTTTTTTTTTTTAAAGTAAATGCTAGAAGCGGGGTATAATTTTAAAAATAACATTATTTGAATAAATTTCAATACTCCAATAGGAAAATGTTCTACAGTTTTGACACTCAACTCTCAAAGGCATATTATTTGTTAAAATAGAAAGGATTTGAAAGAACTAAAAAAATTGACATGAGTAGTTAACTTTTTGTTGAAATTCAGGGAGGTTACTCTTCATAGTTCATAATACATTACTCCCTCCGTTCCTTATTATAAGAGACATTTGATGCTTATGACATGTTCCTATATATAAGAGACACTTAAAAGTTGTCTCTACTTTTTTGTGTTGATTTCCTATTTTACCCATATTTATTGTCTCCAACTCACACTCTCTCTCCCTGCCACTTTTTTTTCTTTTAATAATTTAATTGTTCTCTCTCATGCTCTCTCCTTATTAATGAGGGCAGTTTTGGAAAAAAAAAAACACATTGATTGTTCTTAACTTTTAACTGTTTTTTTGATCAACGTAAATCGGTTATTCGTCTCTTATAATAAGGAACGGAGGGAGTATTTTGCTAAACTTATCCTCAAAGTTGCATAGTTAGATGTAAGTATTGAAATTTAGGGAGGTTACTCTTAAAATGTTAAATGCGAAAGAGCTTATTTGTAAGCACCTTGAAGTTTAGTAGTTTTATATATTTTACCCAATTTACACTACTATAAATTATGTCTTTTATGTTGCTAATCCATGTCGATTATACAAGAAAGCGACATAAAAAAGGTGATGTGTCATTTTTGTAAATAAATTACTATTGAATTGTATTGCGATCATAAAAGTCTCAAGTATCTATAAGATCAGAAAGAGTTAAGCATGAGACAGAGAAGGTGAATGGAGCAACTCAAGGACTATGACTACTAGATAAAGTATCATCTAGGAAAGGCTAATATTGTAGTTGATGCGCTCAGCAGAAAAGTGGTACAAGTAGCAACAATGTTGATCAAAGAGCTTGAGTTATTAGAAAGTGTGAGAAATTGGGGTCTTGTTTACCAAATTCAATTGACAGCAGAAAGAACAGGAGTATTGAAGGTAGACACCTTGGTAGCAAAAACAATTTTTGAGGCTTAAAAGAACGATCCGATGATAGATAATTATAAAGCCAAGATGTTAAGAGGGGAGACTAAAGACTTTAAAGTCTCAATTGAAGAATTACTTAAGTTCAAGGGAACAACCTATGTCCCTTCAGTGAATGATCTCATAGAACAAATTTTGAATGAGGCATATAACAGTAAATATACTATTCAAGGGAAGAACCTATGTCCCTTCAGCGAATGATATTAAGAAATTATTTTGGTGGCCTATGAAGAAAGATATCACTCGATATGTGTCAAGGTGCATCATATATCAAAAGGTCAAGGAGGAACATTAGAGACCATTAGGATCTTTACAACCTCGATGTGCCTAAATCGAAATGAGATAGTATTTTCATGGATTTTATTATAGGATTGCCTCGTATGTCATCAAGATACGACATAATTTGGGTTATTGTTGATTGATTAATGAAGTTAGCTCATTTCTTGGCAATGAAAGTTAAGTATTTGCTAAAGAAGTTAGTAAGGTTGTACATCAAAGAGATTGTACAGTTACATGGGGTGCTAAAGAATATTGTATCTGATCGAGATTCTTGATTTATATCTCAATTCTGGAAAGCTCTACACGAAGCATTGGGTACAAGTACAACCCTAAGATTAAGTACAACATACCATCCACAGACATATGAGCAAATAGAACAGACCATCTATATACTAGAAGACATGCTAAGAGCTTGTGTCTTAGATTTCAAGGGAAACTAGAATGAGTACCTACCATTGGCAAAATTTGCCTATATCAATAACTATCATTCTAGTATACAAATGGCTCCGTATGAGACTTTATATGGTAGAAAGTGCCAATCTCCATTGTGCTAGATAAAATTGAGTGAAAGAAGAGTCTATGGTCCAGAAATAGTAAATCGAACCTCAGCACCTTGATCATCATACCTCATTCTATATTTGAAGCTCTAAGTCTCTTGAATGGCACAATATCATGACCGTTGAATATCAAGCTCTCCTTAACACTCAAACTTAGACTCTGGTTCCAGTTACCCACTCACAGTGTTATTAAAAGAAAATGGTTCTTTCATGTTAAATACACTCCAATTGGTACTATAGATTACCTTAAAGTTCAACTTGCAGACAAAGGCTTTCATTACCAAGAAGGCATCAATTTTTTAGAGACATTCTTGCTTGTTGTAAAACTAGTCTAAATTTGTGTACTACTCTCCCTTGCTATTTCACGTGGTTGGAGTCTAAGTCAACTTGATGTCTAGAATGCCTTTCTTCATAGATACATTGATGAAAATGTGTTTATGGCTTAGCCCTAAGCTTTATGCATCCTGGTTTTCCCACTCATGTTTGTAAGCTTTATAGGTCCCTCTATGGTCTTAAACAAGCACCTCATGACTAATTCTCTCAATTAGGCAATTGTTTATTTGATCTTAGTTTTGTTGCCTCTTGCTCTAGTCTTTCACTGCTCATCTTTAAATCCAATTAGTATCAAATCTATGTGCATTTTTATATGGATGATACAATTCTCACTAGGTCATTTAAGAAAGCCATTGATGAACTATTGCCTATTTAGAGCTCTTCTTTTCCACTTAAGGATGTGGGTCCTCTGCATTAATTTCTCGATATGAAAGTGATACACAAGTCTTATGGATTTATTTTGTCCAAAATGAAATATATCATAGATATACTTTCTAAGACAAACATGTCTAATGCTCATTCTATATCATCTCTTATGGCTGTGAACACTAAACTAATAGCTACATCTCATGCTGTCTCTTATCCAAGTCTTTATAGGAATATAGTAGGTAGTCTTCACTACCCATCTTTCATAAGACCTAATGTTTCATTTATAGTAAACAAAGCTTGTCAATTTATGCACAATTCAATAGAGGCGCACTGGTCTATAGTTAAAAGAATACTTCATTATTTGTCTGGTTCTTCTCATTATGGTCCCTATATTAAGAAATCTTCTCATTTAACTTTATATTCTAGTGGAACTTGAAACATCCTTCCCTAAACCCCATTAGTATGCATTTGGAAGTGTTATAGTTCAAGTGATTTATAAAACAAACCCGTAGATTAAAATTTTGAAATTTGCTTCTTGGGTTACTATTTACTGGTAAATTTCATATTTTCGGTGTAACTTTGAAAGTTCATAACTAATTATAGAAAAATCATTTTAAGGTGGCTCAAAATTCTATTTGAAGCTATTTCAATTCACTATAGGGAAAAAAAATACTCTATGGTTCATTTCCTTGCTCAATTTGTATAGTTGGTTGCATGAATTTTACTATTCATTTGGTAAAAACAATTTTTTCCAAATTCTTTGCCCTAATTTTGAATGATCATAACTTTTAGTGCATATCCCATTTAAGTGATATATTACTTGTTTTAAAACTCAAGATGTGTACTTTAACTATGTCAAATTTTACGGGTAGATTCAATCGTTTGCCTCACTTTGACCTTCATATTTTCATGGCTTATTTAGGGATCACTTATCCCCCTTACTTACATTAATAATTTATAATTAATTCTTTGCATACATGTAACCTTTCCAACAATTTATGCATTAGTTCTATGCAATATTATACTCAATTATATGTGCCAATTACACCATTTATCAACACATAATATTAATGGCATTCTCGTATACTCATACATTAACCAAGAGAGGAAATCAATACACTTGAACTATAACCCTTTTCTTTCAAATCTTCTCTTCTTTATTGATGCCACTTCTTGTGTTCCTGTTCTTGCACATTTTACCTATTGAGTATGAGATTCATGAGAATCTTACTAGCAAATATTACCATTGATGCATACAAGACAGATGTAAGTGTATGACATACTTACTTGATCTAGCACATGCCTACTTATAACATGTTCTTATGTTCAATGTGTCACATTAACATGCATAGCCATAGAAAACATTAAAAAAATATAGCATTATACTTGTATTTACATCTTATATCATTGATAGAACCCAATCTTTATATGGTTTTCTCAAGTATTCTCTAATGTTTTGTAACACTTTTACCCTCATTATGCATGCATTTATATCCATTTGATTACTTTGAGTCATGCATTGCATTTTGCTTTTTAAGGGTAAAAAAGGGTCATTTTCTCTCTCCTTAATTGTAATTATCTTGATCTGTAATCAGTTAGTCTTTATAAAGCTCTTTGTTGTGATTTTTTGGCAATTAGAGAAGGATCCAGGATCCAAGACCCAAGATGGAGCATTGACTCCCCAGGTCGTGACATGGACTTCTGAGGTCATGACTTGA